ATTGTTAAAATATGTTGTAAAACATATGATCCGGGAAATGGAGTATGCATTCTACAACAGAGTGAGGATCACATTTGAATCCATGAAGGAGAACTTCGTTTTTGGAATTAGGTGCAAATAAATAGAGAAATATACTTTGTTGGGTGTAGAATTGGAGAACATTTAGGATAACAGACTAAAATCCCCAATTCGGTCTTAGTGTTTAAAAACTAAAGCGAGAGTTATCTTTCAGGGGAAGGGAAATGGGAGCTCTGGAGAGAGAGACAGTATCCTCCCATCCTAACCATAGATTTAGGGACTGAACTTGAGATTAGCCAACTATTCTCTATTATGTCAGGATAGAGAATTAAAACAGCTCCTATTTGATACAATACATAATTGAACCATTTATCTCATCTTATTTTACCAAAACCTCATTGTAGTGGGAAATATGCTTTTTCACATAAGAAATATTCATCACATAAAACTAGTTTAATAGTTTAATAGTTTAGTAGTTACTGTATAAACTTTGTATTTCAGTTTTATTATTATTTAAATAATTTATTTTTGATAGCATCTCAACATTCGAAATTAGTGACAGTAATTTTGTTTTGACTTTCTGTGAATTTCCTAGTAAATTTATCATTTCAAATTTAAACCTTCCTCGTGGGATCGATATTTGAGGCTTAAATGCTTAAATAGAAAGTCCTTTATTACTTGATAACGATATGTATACTTGCGTAGAATCCTAACATTAATTGCTTAAATTTCTAAATCATAAAAAGATGCATCAAGCTTTTTTGGCGTCGTTGCATAGCGAAGTCAACCATATAATTTTTACACAACTATCAAATTCAGGATCACGTCTACATGCTATGAAAAGTCAGCGATTAAGAGGTGCTTGGAAAGTACCAGTACATTGGTCATATCGTACATGTAGTCATCCAATAATGTCAAATAGACACAAAAAATTCATTTTGAAGTTCATATGTCACACGTCGGTTCAGTTTTAAGGCAACAACTTAAAGCCCATGGAAATTGTTGCTCTGATGGATGCCAAATTTAATATCTGTGTCAGTTACATCAAAGCATGAGATCCACGTAGAAAAGAAATACGATCAATTTTTGGCAGTTTTAAGGGTCATATTGCTCCTTATTTTAACTAATGGAAGCAAGACATAGTGCAATATTGGGTATTGTGTATAAAATTGAAGTTTTAAAAAAGAAAAAGCAAGTTCCATATTATCGTCTAGGCATTTGGTCCCAGTACATATGGGTGGAGTTTTTGCCGACCTGTGCTTAATATGGACATGACGTTCCTTTTAGGAAAGTATAGAGGGACTCTACTGGCTGCAGTATGAATTGATGGAAATAGTTGTCACTTTCCACTTGTACTTGCTATAGTTGAGTCTGAGGACATAGTGCAATATTGGGTATTGTGTATAAAATTGAAGTTTTAAAAAAGAAAAAGCAAGTTCCATATTATCGTCTAGGCATTTGGTCCCAGTACATATGGGTGGAGTTTTTGCCGACCTGTGCTTAATATGGACATGACGTTCCTTTTAGGAAAGTATAGAGGGACTTTACTGGCTGCAGTATGAATTGATGGAAATAGTTGTCACTTTCCACTTGTACTTGCTATAGTTGAGTCTGAGAATACTAAGCCGTGGGTATGTTTTCAACAACAACTATATGCTTTGCTGGAAGTCGTATGGACCCGTCAAGATCTATGTATTATATCAGACAGGCACCAATGTTTGGTTCAAGGCTGTAGAGAAATTTTCTCATTGGCTCCACATTGACATTGCTTGCATCATCTACGAGAAAAATTTAAGAAGGCGTTAAGATGACTTGCAATAGGGGATGTCGACAGTGTCAATGACAACATGTATTGGGCGAGTAATATTGATGAACTCAGGATCTTTAATAGACATATGAATGATATTAAACAAATTAAGAAGAAGGCCTATGATTGGTTGATTGAGAAAGATACATGAAATGGACTTTAACATATGATGGTGGAGCTCGATTTGACACGATGGCAACAAACACATCTGAATGTTTCAACGGGGTTTTGAAACATGCATGAGGACTCCCAATTCAAGGCCTCATATGTGCTATATATTATAATTTGGTCGCGTTATCCTTAAAATGATCCAGAAATGTACCGCAATGGACCAAAGTTGGGAGTTTTAACTTTATCTTGGACACAAGATCTGCTCTACAAAAAATTGAGCTTGAGGCTCTTCACTTTCCTCAACCGACCTGCATAAATAATCTTGAATATCAAGTATTTGATATGATCGGGTTCAGGCACAAAATTATTTTCACACTTTAAAACTAAACACACAAAGTTATTAATTACATTAAACTAATTATTATAAATATAATGTAGGTGGAATGAAGAGTGGGTTCGAGCGTTCTATTCCTAATATCATGATGTATAGGGATGAGCTAGATGGACTCAAACAATATCAAATATACTAATCATTTTTTTTTTATAAATCTCATAATATTGACATAACTGTATATATTAATTAACTTTAATTTATAATCTCATCCACTGGTTATCTGGACACCATATGTTAATGTAAATCTTGTGTTATTACATAACATTTATTTTGAGAGTATGGAAATTTGGACTGCACATGTTCCAATAATAAACAAGAAGTATGTCATGACACCTTCTAGATCGCATTATGCGTCAGTTCTCAAGCACCCAATCAATAACCATTGAACCCATCGAACAAGGTTTTGAGAGAGTTGATGGGCAAGGTAAAGTAGGACTTAATTGGGAGCAATATCATAGTATATATATATATATATCGAAATATGAAATAATCATTGGACATTCATTGTGCGAATAATCCAGTAGAAGGAGACGAAAAGGAAGACTTATATATTTATTTGCAGTGGTATCGATCTTAGGCTTCACTCTACTTAATGAAATCTCCAACTCAGCCTCTTGAAACCTATTACACATGATCACAAGGAGAGAATAACGGTAAGTTTTTGCATTCCTTTATAGATACTACTATTTTTTATTATAATACATAATAATAATCTAAAAATTACCAATCATACAACTGGAAACATCGCCAAAAAGATATGAAGTGGATCGTGGAGCAAGTGCGAGTTCTATGAAAGAATCTTACGACAAGATTTTTATGTTATCATGTAGAGTGGAGGAATTAGTGCACATTGATTATACAACATTTGATCTAACTTGTCGACATGATTTTGAAGCAAAGCCGTCTCATAACATAGATGCCAGACCAAAGGGCCCCCTTATACCAACCTATGATGCTTACGTCGGTCATCTTCCTCCGCTGAGTAGCGATTTATAGCATTTGTTCCAAAGAGATCTTCAGTTAGTAAACACAAAGATCTTCATTACAATAAGCAAAAAATAAACAATATTCAGAGATATCTGCTTATCCCGCCTAATCATTATTTGCGGGACACTTCGGTTATGTAGGACTGTCCAACTTTGCAGGACCATCTAGTTATGCAAAACCCTTTGAATATACAGTGCCATCAACATTTAAGGTTCCATCATTTGACCTGTATTGGACAACCACTAGTGGTGGATACTTTAATTTAAAATTTTAAAATATTCCCATTTTTGCGTCTATTTTGGTTGTAGGCACGAATTTCAATACACCACAATTATAATATCTGCCAAATCCCAATAAACATATTTACCAGATACCACAAATGTCACAATTGAGAGCAAAAATATTGAAGAAAAACTTGAATATCATCAGTTACGTCATTGACCACTGCGTCTACCGTCTCGATATACACTTGGTTTATGTGTTATTCCACCAATACGAAGAAGATAGTATTTTTTTTTTAAATATTAAGTCAATTGATTAAATTCGTTCAAAATTTCAAATAATTTAAATTTTTTCATTTTGTAAATATTTCAATTTGAAATAAATTTTACAAGTTCCAAATTTTCTTAATTTATTTAGTTAATTAAAATTTATTTTTATTTAATTAAAAATTAGTTATGATTTACTAATTAATATAGTAGTTAATTTTAATATTTTTTTATTTATAAAATAAATAATAGCAATATTTATATTGTTATTTAATATAATATGCAAAAATTAGTTATGATTTACTAATTAATATAGTAGTTAATTTTAATATTTTTTTATCTATAAAATAAATAATAACAATATTTATATTGTTATTTAATATAATATGCAAAAATTAGTTATGATTTACTAATTAATATAGTAGTTAATTTTAATATTTTTTTATCTATAAAATAAATAATAACAATATTTATATTGTTATTTAATATAATATGCATTAATAATTATATTATAAATACTGGCTCTTTTTGTTTTTTTAAATGCGTGCTTTTTCTGCTATTACGGGTAATTAAGGGGCTTCTTTTCATAATTTGACAGTTAGTTAATATACTAATATTAATAATTATATTATAAATAGAAAATTAAGAAAAAAATTGGTATGCTCTCCCTATTGAGGCGCATTTCCTCTATGATATGCGCCCACATGCTCCTTCTAAAAAAAATGCTTGCATCTTTTGCTAATATAGGTAATTAAGGAGTTTTTTTCATCTTTATTTTGATTTAAATTAAACCGTAATTTTCTAGCCGCTAACACCAATAGTATATAGTCAGATCTTGTAAGAAAAATATAACTTATTAAGAACAAATATAAAATATAATTTTGATAAATAGAAAAAATTGAGATATAACACCATATTAGTTATGCACAGCCACCCAAAGGGAAAAAATTTGCGTACTTAAGATGTACGCAACGCTGCACACATAATAAAAATTATATTAGTATTATATTCTGATTATATCTCTGGTAACTCCCATATAACTTCTATGTTATTTATATATAACTTATAAATATGTGAAAATAGAAGGGCAAAATTTATTTATAAGTTTAAATAAATTACAAATAAATTATATAGATGTTTTAAGATATAACATGCGCCCATATTATTTTCGGCCCCGGAGGCTGCATATATCAAATCACGTTTAACCTCATCAAATTTGATCGATCGGGATTCGATACCATCCTGAAAATCGAGGCGTCGGCTCTGCTACTGGCGGGATTCTGATGAGAGAACAGATAGAACGGTAGATACGGAAAAGAGAGGTGTGGGGAATCGGTTGCGGACATGGCTAACGCGACCTCCTCCTCCATTACCGCCGTCGATGAAAATAGTTTGTAAGTTTTTCCAAATCCCTACGTCTTATTTCTCCCATCTTCTTCCATCCCACCCTTCAATTCTTATGAAATGCTCCAATTCAGGCAACATATGCCCCGCAGATTGTATTTTTTTTTTTTTAAATTTAAATTTCTGGGACTGGATCCTCATTTTCTGATGTTTGTGGTAGGTCGATTAAAGGAGGTTTTTATTCTGGCCATTTGAAGCTTTTGTCAGATGAATGCGCTCTCTTTATGATTTTATTGATTAGACTTCTCGAATTATGCGAAGTTGTGCTTGTGGTTTGTTTGTTTTTTGTCCCATCAGAAATTTGAAGAGCTATCGGCTGGCTACCAAACTGGAAGTTGTAAAATTATTGGTGGCAATGTCATTGATAAGATTATACGGGAAACACTCGCTCTAGTTACCTGTTATTGGACTGACTGCTTATTTATCATAATGTTAATTACTTTTTGTTTCACTTTCTTATTTTTTATTTTCTAATGCTCCAATAGTCTCTCCCATACAATCAATTATATATAGTTTTGCCTCAAAATCGTTTAGCATTATCATTTTAATCACTCCTAAGTTGACTGTTCATAAATTTTTATCATCCATTACTGGATACATATAATATTTATGATTTGGTCACAATTCTTAAAAAAATCTATTAAATCTTCAAGGATTTCTCTTATGTTCAAGTGCTTAGTTAAAATGATCAAATCTTGCAAAATTCTCTCCCGACCTCTTCCTCTTTCTCTTGCTTCAATGTGAGGTATACATTAGGATAGCGAGAATTAATAGGAAAAATGGAAAGAACAAAGAATAAAAAGGGTTGCTAAATTGTGACTCCGTAAGCTATTGATGTTGAATCCTCAAGATATTGTGTTAATGAATCCCCAAGGCAAGAAATCTAGGAAGCTAAAATAAGGTTTATAGGAAGTTTCATTGAATTCATTATACTTTTCTTAATCTAAATCAATAATAAAAACTCACTGAATTTTCTTCTTTTTCTTATATAGGTTACAAGAGATTTTTCTGAAAATGATTGTCGAATAATGTATATGTTAAACAATCTAGTGACTAATTACATTTTTAAACCATAGTAATTAAAAAATTAGAAGATGCATGCATATGAAAATATCACTTATAACTCACATTGTTGGGACAAAAGATTAATCATTTATTAGCTCTATTTGTCTTAATGTTTTATGGATTTATCTTATCTTAAAGTATAATACATCCATCAGTCTCATTGACTATAATTTTATAATTAAAGGCACTTTCATCTTATAGCCTTTTTCAAACCTAAACCTGGAGGATAGGTAACTCTTTTCTTTAAGCGTCTCTAACCAGTCACATAAGAGAGTGAACTCTATCATTGAATACACACGCACTTTCACTCCGATGTAACACATTTTGCATTCCTCTCTTCATGCGTTTACTTTAAATAGCAACTTTTGTGTATTATTTCATGAAATAATCACTAAAAGCTTGGATGTAAATAATATAAAGTTACATTTCTATCAATCGATTTTGCAATTTATTCTACACTTGCTTTTAAACCTTCCAAATTTACTTAATGTGTCATCTTTTTATCAAAATTTATATTTATTTTAACTCCTAATTCATCATTAGTCCGTCAATTGTTGAGAATCTTTAACTTTCACAAATCGTCAGTTTGACTTTTTTTATTAATTTTATTATTTTTTGAAGAGATTTGAACTGATAACTGCAACTTTAGAAATCAAAGGCAATATCACTTACTTATTTTTTCGTTAACATCTTCAACCTAATTATATTGCTGCTTCTTGTTATTCTTCTGCATGGAGGTAGTATTTCAATGGCAGATTGTTATCATAATTATCAACGACAAATTAAACCATTGCACTTTATGGTCAACTTCTGTTGTTTTAGCGAACCTCTTTTGATATTAAGACATTGACAAAATAACTAGTCCTTGGAATCATGGAGCATCTAATAATTTACTTCTTACTTATTTTAATTTTTTCTAAAGCTTTGAAAAAACATTTTGGTACGTGAAATTTTACATCTCAGTTAGAATACCATTGTTGAATCTCATACATGAACCAGCCATTTTGAAGGCAATGTGACATTTGTAATGTTGCAATCGTAAATTCACAACATTTATTTAAATGGCTGGATTTATTTAAATCCTTGATTATTTGACAATGGAGTTTTTGTTATTGCTGTAACTTTTAGTCAAAATTATCTTCTATTTCTTTTGTTTTATATTGAGATTATTTTTATTTTCTTAGGTTTGTCGACTTATTGCATGAAGCACCCTTATCAAGTCATCGACATCCTAGAAGTATTTTTGGCAGTATTTTGTACTGCATACTATTGGCAAGTATACTTTCTACTTCTTTAGTTACTTGTAGACCCGGGGGATGTCCTACACTTCAAAGATATTATTTATCAACTATAATGATTATTTCTATTTTGTAACCTCATGAAAATTTATACATTATTTTCTCATGGTCGTTTTTCCTACATCTCAGATATTTCACGTATCAAAATATAATGGAAGATTTACATATATATTCTTATGTATATACATATCTAACACCTAAACTTTAATTTTTACATACATAACATCTAACTTATGCATGAAAAGGTTATTTCGCTTTTTAAAAGCTAAAATAGTGGTATTTTTGATGTGGTAGGTTATTTCACTTTTTAAAAGCTAAAATAGTGGTATTTTTGATGTGGTAGGAGAGATTTGATTGGTATAAATTTAAAAAATAAAGTTTAGATGTTAGATATGTAAATACATATGAATTGGGTGGCATTCATGTAAATGCCCTAAATATTTTTGGTAATTATTTGCCCACAGAAGTGTTTGAGGATTGGAAGGGAGAAAGGGTGGGCATTGTGTAACATTAATATAAGTTGTTCGAAATGATTTGTAGAGTATAGATTATCATCTCTCCAACATGAACAAATTGAAAGCGAGGATTCCTGTAGTTGACCTCAAATAGTTGGGACTTGGTCTTAAGCTAATGTTGATGATGACGATATTGCCCACACAAGTGCCTAATGTTTATTATTATTATTTTTTTTGTTTTATTTTTTTATTTTTTTCTTTTTTGCTTTCTTGCTTCTAGGCAGGTTGTGTGGTTGTGGCAGCTGCAGCACCATGGATATTCTTTCTCATGCCAAAACTGATACCAGCAATGCTTTGCAGTTGCAATATCATCTTACTAGTAATTACAGGTCTTGTATATTGTCGACGCTACAGTTATCATCATATTCATTCTTTCATATTCACTGTTTTTATCAGGGAATTAGTCTAAAAGATTTGGCAATATTGTTAATATTTCTGGGAGCGCATGAACATTTCACGTACCTAATAAATCCTTGATACTTTTATTCCTTTTATCAAGTATCTTTATCTCATGTATAATCAATTTGGGATTGATTTTAGGAATACTTCTTTTGCCATTTATTTTTGTAAATTGTTGAATATAGTTTACTCTAATTGACTCCATATCACTCTATATCCTTTTTGAATTCCCTAATCTAATATTTGTTTTAGCTGAATCAAAATCTTCTGTGTTATTAAAAAGACTTTTTCTGTTAAACCAACATAATCGTCTAGTTTATCTTGATTACGTTAATGTCAGAATATCCAGCAATCCATTAGTCTTAATGAAAAGCTATTAAATAGCATAGAGAGGAATCATAGGATTATTCTTTTAACCTATTATGACCAAGAAACCATCTTTGCCAGTAGTTCAGTTGCTGCATTTTAGAGTCATTTTCCTTTATGTCATGATTGATTATGGCAGCACAAATAATACATTTTCTGAAAATACAGTTGAATAATCTCAAATTACCCAACTGTTCACATTTATTGGGGATGGATCCAAGGCAGAGTAAAAGTCAAACTACTTAAAAAAGGTCTCTTTCCTTATTCTGTTGGACAACATTACAATGATGAAGTTATGAGATACTAGAGCGTGGGAACATTCTTTTACCAGATATATATGAATGATTACCAGCCCAATAGAAGAATGGTAGTTGAGTAGGGATAGAATGTTTTTGAGCTTCAAAAGGTCCCGCTTGTAACAACTTTAGATCGCCATTATCATCATATGAGCCTTTTTCCAAATATTTGTCTTTAACTTTGCCAGTCCATTATCATATACAAAGCTGCATATTTGGTGAAACTTATTTTTTTTTGCAATATCTATTTAAATTTGAAGATAAGCACAATAACGATGAGCGCCTATTACGGGATTGCAGAATCATAGAGGTTGCAGAACGCGATATCGCGTAGAGCCGCAGATCGCGGTTTTGGATGGGAGCAACGAACACCGACTTCCAATTTAGCCTTTCCTTTTCTTTTCTTTTTGATTTCTTTCCCGTTCCTTTATTTTCTAATTAGGTTTGCCTATGATGGAATTATTTATTTCTTGTATTTTATGCTTTTGGGGACTTTTAACTTAGTTTATGTATTTTGGAGATGTTTTCTTTTGATTTTTTCTATTGAAGTGATGTGTCCTTAGTTTTCTCTTGATATTGCCTACACAAGTTTGTTGCTCATCTTTTAATCAATTTATTAAACTTGAATATTAAGTTTAAAACAACACTAAGTTAACAAAAGCCAGTGAATGCTCGCACTCCTAGACTACAATAACACAATGAAAAGAAATATGCATGCCAGTCAAGTTTTTAATAAATCAATGTACACATTTTATATTTAATGAATATGATCACTCACGATATTTCATATTATTCAATGTGTTTTACTATATGAATAATATACCTATCTCATTTTATATTTGTATAACTGCCATTGAGGCACAATCTAAAAAAATTACCAGTTAAAGTACTGTAATATCAATATTATTTTTCATTTACGTGCATGAGTACTTTAGCATTTACCTGCTAGTACTATAAATGAGTGAATCTATCATAACCAATTATGCACATAACAAACATATATTGAAAATCACTATCTAATAATAATTTTTTTATTCTCATTTGTATAACAGTCAATATACTTGTATAACATTTAATATTAATAATAATTTAAACAATGTTGAATACACATCATTTTTGTTATATGAATAAAAATTCAACAATATCATAAATCCTTAATTTGTAGTAATTTCAATATAACTAGTGGCAATACCGGTAAATATATTTGATATAAAAGAAGAAAAATATTACCATAATATAAGAACATGAGTACTCATCCTAAATGCTAATGATCTGCTAATCAATCATTCACTTGACTTATCTCCATTGAAAAACTATAGTCAAATGCATAAAGAATTATTATTACCATTGTTTTTATAAAATGTTAATTTTATTATTAGAATTAAATTTGTCTTCATTTTGCCTTTGATGTGTCATACAATAATTATTATTTTATTATTATTAAGCTAATTGTTGTCGTCATTTCATAATATAAATTTAAATATTTCTTTTAGACAATTTAAACAATAAAATTTTGGTGTTCCTAATTTAATTTTCTAGTTATTTTATGTAATTTGTATCATTTTAATTAGAATTTAAGATTTATATAAATATATATACATTTATATTATGAACAATTTATTATTATTATTATTATTATTATTATTTATTTACATTAAATTCATTATATGTAGCCTTAGCTCATAGATTTAATAAACAATTAAAACTTGCATAAATCAAACCCTAACCTTTCCTTGCTACTGCCACGCTTTTCTCGATCCAAATCTAAATTTTCTTTAACTTGAATTATGGTTTAATTAAACTTTATTATGAATAATTAATAATTAATAATTTATTAAATTGTTAGCTTTGAGAATAGAACTAGATGAATCTTATTGATGCAAATAGGGGTATAAATACTCATTACAGGATTGCTAGTAAGGAAATGAATAAAAATGGAATAAAGGGAAAAATGAAAGTAAATAACAACCAAACAAAACAATTAATACATAAATATGTATATTAATATTTTAATATTCTAATACTCCCCATCAAGTTGAAGTATAGATGTCAGTCATGTTCAACTTGAATTTGAAATCATCGAATAGTGGCCAAGAAATGTTCTTTGTGAGATTATCTTTTAGCCGATCACTAGATGACACAAACGAAACACAACATTCCTCGTACTTGAGCTTTGTTGGAAAGGAGAAGCTTTGAAGATATGAAAAAGGCTAAAAGTTTATGGAAGAAACTTCACTTTTATTTATAACATTTACTTAACTTGATACAAACTCAAAGACTCAACCCCTATTTATACTAGTGACACCTCCTAAATTAAACACCTCCTAAATTAACCTAAATTAATGACAAAGATTATGCCACTACAATTCAATCTAATAGTTACAAATAATTTCATACCTACCTCATATTTTAGAATAAGTTTCTAGATGAGACATGATTCTAGAAATTAAGCTTTATTTAAACAACTAAAATCAAATTTATAAGTTTATATTTCAAAACCCCCTCTTAAACTTAATTTTGTGACTCCAAGCTAACTCTTCTCATTTTAATAGTCTTCACTCTTGAGTGACTTGGTAAAAATATCTGCAACTTGATATTGAGGCTTCACGTACTGTATTTGTATCTCTTTTCTTTCGATGCATTCTCTGGTGTAGTGATAACGCATATCAATGTGCTTGTTTTTTTCGTAGAAAACTGGATTCTTTGCTAGCGCGATTACAGACTTGTTATTGATACAAATTTTGATCATCTCTTCTTGTGGTAAACTTAACTTCTTTAATAGGTTTCGAAGCCAAATTGCACGACAAACACATGAGGTTGCAGCCACGTATTCTGCTCCGCAAGTAGAAAGAGTGACAATTGGTTGTTTCTTTGACATCCTAGTGAAAGCAGTGTCTCATATAAAGGACACGAACCCTGTAGTGCTCTTTCTATCATCCATGTCTCCAACCTAATTACGGTCGCTATATCCTAAAAGCTTGAAATTATTGGATGATGAGTAAAGTAAGCCAAAATCAATTGAATCTTCGATATAGCGCATAATTCTTTTAGCGGTCTTCAGGTGGGTAGTAGTCATAGTCTCCATGTAGCGACTAAGAAATCACCAACAACATAAAGAATATCAGGTCTTGTGTATGTCAAGTAGCGCAAAATTCCAACTAAACTCTTGAAAATCGTTGAATTAATTATTTTTCCCTCATCACACTTTAACAGTTTGACTCCACATTCTACTTTGGTTTTTATAGGTCGATTATTATCCATATTGAGCTTTTTCAATATTTCCCTTACATAACTTTCTTGAGATATGAAAATCGCATCTTCTGTTTGCTTGACTTCAATGCTAAGGTAGTATGCTATGAGCCCATTATCTGTCATTTCGAACTCCTTTGTCATCGTTTTTTTGAACTTTTTAAACATTCTAAGATTATTTTCGGTGAAGATCAAGTCATCGACATACAAATAAACAATCAAGACATTTTCATCATCATTCTTGATATAAAAAGTATGCTCATAAGGACGCTTCATGATGTTTTTCTCTTGCAGATACTTGTCTATTCGGCTATTCCATGTTCTTGGTGCTTGCTTCAGCCCATAGAAAATCTTTTTTAGCTTTAGAACCTTGTCTTCTTGCTCTTTGACTTCATACCTTATTGGCTGCTGAATGTAGACTTTTTCTTCAGGTATTCCATTCAAGATGACAAATTTTACATCCATTTAATGTATTCTCCACTTATTTTGAGCTGCCAAAGAGATGATCAGTCTAATAGTTTCTAATCGAGCAACATGGGAAAATACCTCATCATAGTCGACGCCTGCTCTTTGACTGTAGCCTTTTGCCACCAATCTTATCTTGTATCTTTCAATTTATCCTTTGAAATTCTTCTTTCCTTTTTACACTCACTTCATATTAATTGCCTTATGCTCTTTAGGAAGTCAAGCTAGCTCCCATGTGTCGTTCTTCTCAATTGCCTTGATTTCTTCACCCATTCCATTTTTCCACTTTTTGCTTTGTATGACTTCTTGGAAATTCATGGGTTCACAGTCGACAAAGAGACAAAAAAAAGTGATTATCTTGATTCATAGTTACATCACAAAGTTCTTATAATCTTCTGAATAGTGATACTCTTTCACTTGAATTTTCTCTTGAAGTTGTAAAGTTCTTATAATCTTCTGAATAGTGATACTGTTTCACTTGAATTTTCTCTTGAAGTTGATGGCGATGAGTCACTTTGAGTACTTGTAGTCAATGTTGTTTGTGGAGTAGTAAA